AGGAAAATATTTAATAACTGAAATATGTTTCATAATACTGAATTGATAGGAATTCTGACTGTTCATTTAGGTATGTTGTATTTCCAATATATATAAAGAAATGATTAAAATTCATAATAATAAGAGTCATTCCCCAATTGATAAATGGTCTAAGAATATGAGCAAGCAGTTGTCAAGAGAAGAAACTAAGGCTATATATAGGCATATGAAAAAATACTCCAAAACACTAACAACTAAAGAAATGCAAATTAAAGCAATTCTATTGCATGCATATCAGATTATCAATGATGAGAAAGAAGGAAATATGATAAATGGAGGGGCTGTGGGACATAGGCACATTGATCTATTCGTGGTGGATCTGTGACTAGGTACAACCATCCTGCAAGGCAATTTGGAATTATATACAGAAAATTACTAAATGATGAATACCCTTTAACCCTTCTATGCCACTGCTAGACGTATACCCAAAAGAGATTGAAGAAAGACACAAAGTCCTTGTACAAAAATATTTATAGTAACTCTTTTTGTGGCGGCAAAGAACTGGAAATGAATAAGATATCTATAAATTGGTGACTGGCTGAATAAATTGTGGTATATGAATGTGATGGAATATCATTGTACTTTAATAAAAAAATAGATGATTTCAAAGAGATAGGGAAAAAACTTGTATGAGCTGATGCAGACTGAAGTGAATGGAACCAGAACAATTTACACTACAGTATCAATATTATAAAAACAATTTTGAAGACCTCTATGAACTGATAAAGAATGAAGTTACCAGAACCAGGAGAAAAATTTATATAATAGCAACATAAAGACAAATTTGAAAGCCAAAAGAACTATGAGCAATGAAATGACCATCTATGGTTCCAGAGGATGAATGATGAAACATGCTATTCACCTCTTGAGAATGATGGATTCAGGGTATAGAATGGGACAAATATTTTTTGAGTATATGCAATAAGGGAATTTGTTTTGCTTGATTCTGCATATTTGTTGTGGGAATTTTTATTTCTTCATCCCCTTTTGCTACTTAAGAATCAAGACGTGAAGTATGAAGATGGTGGCAATCATAATAGAAAAAGGATAGCTATGTGACTAAAGATTTGCATACACACACAAAAAAAGTCACTCTACAGGTATACAATTAATATAATGAAAATTGTGACAAAGTAAAGAAATACTTTTACTTATAGAATCAAGTGACCAAATTTCCTATGTCAAACTGGATAGAGACTTATGAATCATCCTTTGTCTATATTAAATGTATATGATAGTTATATTTCTGTAGGTGTGTATGTGTACACATATGTGATTTTAAAGTTTTGTCTCACAAATGAGATTTTTTCAAAAACCTATATACTTGAATGAGTGCTGTTCTTCAAATTTTTCACCTATGAAGATTATATACCATTCCAAAAATACTCCCATTTCCCACATCAGTTAGGAGGCTGGTGCAGTAATCTAGCGAAAAGGTGATAAGGGTTTAAACTATTTGGATGGCCATGATGACTGGAGAAAAGGAAATGGATATGAGAAATGTTGTGGTGGTAGGACTGACAAGATTTGGAAACTAATTGAATATGGGAATAAGGGAAAGCAAAGTCTAGGTAGAATGACTCAAAGCTTATGAACCTGGCTGACTGGAAAGATGGTAATGCCCTCAACAGAGGAACGTTTGAAAGAAGGGTGAGTTTAGGGTAAAAATAAATTTTGTTTTGGACATACTGAGTTTCAGATTCATATGCTACATCCCATTGGAAATGTTCTATAAGCAGTTGTTGATGAAGGACTGGAGCTCAGGAGATAAGGGCTAGAAATATATATCTAATAGGCATCTGCTTAGACAGGATAACCAAACTCCTGGGAACCGATGAGACCACTACAACAAAATGTAAAGAGAGAAGAGGGCCCAAGACAGAGACCTAAGGGTATATTTATAAGGGTATATTATACACATTGGGAACAGGGCATGGATGAAGTTCTAGCAAAGGAGACTGAGAAAGGATGGTCAGACTAGTAGGTGAAGAGAGTAGTGTTGTGAATATCCAGGGAGGAGTAGCTAAGAAAAGGAGGTGGTTAACAAGGTGAAATACTGCAGAGTGGTTAAGAAGGATGAAGACTGAGAACTGAGGACTGGAGTTAGCAATTAAGAGATCATTTGTAAAATTAGAATGGTTTCAGCCAGTGGTGATGGGAAGCCAGTTTACAAGTGGTGTAGAAGTGAGGAATCAGTGATGACTTTTTTTTTTTTTCAAAAGAAGTTTGACTGTGGGAGACAGGAGAGGGTTATGGATCATAGGGTACAGAGATGATCTCCCTGACTCCCTTGTCTCATCTCTCCAATCCATTATCCACATAACTGCCAAATTGATATCCTTAAAGCATAGGTCTAAGTCATTGTCTTATAAAGCTTAATGATTTACTATTACCTACAGAATAAATATAAATGCCACTATTTGGTTTATTTCACAACTCATGAAGGATTAAGGGATTTCTTTGAAAAATTTGCTTAGGGGCTTAGAATAATTATTAACAGCATCTCTGGGTTTTCATTTACCCAGCAAATATTTACTTGAGTACCTACTATGTGCAAGGTACAATTTTAGGTCCAGTGATCCCTTTCACTGAAGAAATTACAAATCTACCAGAGGAGCTAAGCTTTTTTACACAAACATTGCAAAGCAGTTCCTAGGTGTTAGCTGGAGAAGGAAGGGGTGTTGATATTATGAGAGGGATCAACTTGAAAGCAACCCTAGTGGAGCTCTTCTTTAAAAAATAACTCTGTAATATTGTCAGTCTTTAGAAGTTACTCCCAAGAGACCATAGTCACACCTGTCACACATCCTAGCCCATAACCAACTCTACATTTACAGTCAGTTGTCAAGATATTAAAAAAAACAAAGAGCAGGGGTTCACTTATTTTTTTTTCAGTCCATTCCTCCTGGTGCCCCAATCCCCTTCCGTGCTTTATTAAATGAGATAATAAATGTAGAATATTGAATATTAATTTGGAGTTGAGAGTGATCTTAGAGATAAAATGAGGATTAAATGAGATATTTGTAAATCGCTTAACACAGCGCCTGGCACACAGAAAACACTTAATGAATGCTTGTTCCCCTACCCCTAGTTTAGTCCAGTGCCCTCAGTTTGCATGGCACGATGGAGAGAACATTGAATTTGAAATCAGAGGACCTGGGTTCAAATCACAACCTCAGTGTATCTTATCACTTGTGAAGTCTTTCTCATTTAACCTCTGTGACCCTCAGTTTAAAGCAGGGACTAGGTGACTAGCTGCCCTCTGAGGTAACTTCCAGCTCTAGATCTGTGATGCTGAGTGACAGGTGATGTTAGGCAAGGGCCAGGGCATCACGCTGCTCCTGGCTTTTCTCCTCCTATCCTCCACCCCTGCGCCATTTCCTCAGCCTTCCCTCCCTTTTATTTTCATGGTCCCCGGCAGCCACTTAGCCACACACCCTCCCCTTCCCCCGGCTCCCTGGCACGGAGTCGTCATCGTCCTTTTCTCTCTCCTTCGCTGGGGGAAGGCCCAGGTCGTGATCAGTGGTGACACTCCCAGCAAAGGGCGGAGACACAGTGTCCGGGGGGGAGGCCTAGGGTTAAACGCCCCCGGAAACCGGCCCAAGGGCCGGGCTTCGGTGCCCAGGGGGAGGGACCAGGGGAAGGCGAGCCTCTGGTCCTCCGCCTCCCAGACACGCGGACGTGAGGAGGAGCGATGTAGGGACCATTCTGAGAATAACGCCCACGAAGAGGCGGAGGCCCGAGCTCGACCCCCGCCCACCGCTCTGGGGCTACCGAAAGTGACAGCGGTCGGCTCGGCTAAGATGGCCGCCGCCTGCGAAACCGAGGCCGAGAAGGGAGGGCGGGAGCGAGGGAGGGAGGGTGAGGGGAGGAGCCCGCGCGCCTCGCCACGTGACCTAGCTCCGCTCGCTCGCTCCTCCCCGGGATCCCCGGGAGTTCGGCTGCTCGTGCAGCAGCAGGAGACCCGCTGCTGCGGCGCGTGGGGGCGGGAGGGCTGCCGGGGAGTGGGCACATCCTTCCCCTAGTGTCCTCCAAGCCTGGGGCTCTTAAGCCCTACGACAGGGGATGGAGTAAGTGCGCAGAGCAGGGTTGAGAACCTTCTGCTCGGGAGGGCACCAAGGTGGAGTGAAGTCCCCAGAAGAGGCGGAGCTGGGGGTGGGGGTTCCCCCGGTGACAGCTTTTTTTGGAGGGTAGTGGGGAAAAGAAGGGTCGTTGGCGGGGGAAGTTCGAGCTAGGGGATTCCGGCAGCACCGTGGGCAGGGCTGGGGTCTCAGTGGCCCCTTCGAGGCTCTGGATGCTTGGCCCCCAGTGAGATTTCAGGGATTTTCGCTCTCGGTTCAGCTTCCGAGTCCGCGGGTCTGAAAAAACAACAACCAAATGTTTTCTTTTTTCTGAAGGAAAGAGTGGAGAGCCCAGCCATTCAAATGGCGAGGCTCCCTCCCCTAGGTGGGATGCCTGTTTTGGGAGGAACTGAAGGAGCTGGGGGCGGGGGCGGAGTGTGCCCTCCTTGAATGCAAAATGCTGTCTTTTCAAGTTGGGGAGCCCTCTTTCGACCCACAAATATAAGTCGTGACCGTGACCGTGGTGACCACTGGGGAAGAGGGAGGGAGAGAGTCGTGCGTCGAGAGCAGCTTCTGACTGTGTCCCCACTGTCATGTGTGTGGGACCCAAGAGGGACCCGGGATGGGGAGTAGTAGCCTCTTTTAGCCCCTCCTGAGCGATTTGCAGACGTGAGGGGCCCAGTCACCTCTACAGGGCACAGAGATTCCGCCGCCAAGGCCCTCCCCGTCAGGCACAAGTTGTCATTCGTTCGTTCATTCGTTCACTCATTCATTAGTTCCTCTAAGCCCAGGCTCCAGGCACCCAGACCATCTTTAGCTGAGTGTGAAGCAGAGGCTTGGAGTTGGGAGACTGGAGCGTGGGGGTCGGGGAGAAAGAAAGAGGAAGGAGAAAGTATCACCATGGGGGACAATGAGAGCTGGATCCCCCAAGACGCCAGTGATCGAGGCTTCCCCCAAGCTTTAGGGCCATATAATGGGTCCAGCGCTGAGGCCGTCTGGACCAATCGAAGCTCCCTTGGGGTCAGTACCTTGGAAAGCGGAGAGGATAGTGAGGCTCAGACCTATCGGCATTTCACCACAACCGTGCAAATTGTCATCTTCATTGGCTCTTTATTAGGTAAGTGCGCGCAGTTGAGGTTGTAGGCTCTCTTATAATGTGTTTCCTTGAGGGCGCTGACTTGATGGGCAAGACCAATCTTAGGTGGTTGGGGCAATGTCCCTGTTTTCCACGCAGGGTTTTCCGATGCCTGGCAAAGTGAATCTAGTTGAAGGAATTTGATGTTTAATGAATCGCTGGAGCGTAACAGCAGTTAAGTTGCAGAGGAGACAGGTTCCTGGCCCGCAACTCCATAGCAGTGGAGATCTGAGCTCCTTTCCTATAGACGCCCTAGGTTAAATAAGTGTTACAAGTATCTCTCAAGACTGACATTGCTACAGTGTTCAGGGATAATTTATGATAAAAATGTTTAGGGTTGTACATAGAATTATAAGAATGGGGCCAGACTGTTGAACTTACTTATGTGTGCTGTTGTTTACAAATACCTGAACACAACTCTGATTTTATTCATGTTGTCTGGATTGAAAGTTACCACTGTTTGAAAGTGTGCTTGCATATTTGCCTCACATTTCTTAACTGTATGTCAAATTCTAGTAAAGAGACATACCCTATTAGTATTTTCTTGCTCACTTGATATTGTTCTTAACCCTGTCTGCTGATAATTAACCCTGTGAAGTTAGATTCAGATGTCACCTTGGTATATCATTCTTAAAATGCTGCAAAAGCAAATGAATAACCAAGCCACTTGTGAACTAGCTCCCCCCCCCACCCCCTTCCACCCCATCTCCCTTTATTTCTTATTGCCTGAAATGTAGAATAAAGAGAAGCATATTATCCCTCCCTCTTCTTCCATTAGTCTGACTGGTGCAGAAAAGAAAGATAAACTAATTTATTTTGATACTTCTAATAAGCTGCTAATAAAAGTTGGTTACTTGACTAATGTAATTTACAAACACTCTTGGTAACTATTCGAAAATACTAAATAGTGAAGTATTAATTTCTTTGAGGTTTGTTTGACATGTACTTCATCCTGGTAAATACATTGCTGTCCCTTTAAATGTAGATACTGCAATCTAGAATTCATAGGGACATAAAGATAAGAGATTTGTGTATATGATGGGCTGTGGAAATAGAGCACATATATGCTGAAGTTTCAAAGTAGCAAGTTTGTTGCTGGCATGTAGATATTTAATAAACCTACATTTCAGTGGTATCAGGATTAATTGAAATCAAATGGATTATATCTCAGATATTATGAATGTTTGGAATTCCCTCCAAATTTAAATACTTGACATATTCTCATTCTATTCTCTTAGTGTCTCAGTTTCAGAACAAAAAGTTTTGATTATAGGCACCCTTTCTATTTCTAGCTTAGTTTCCTATAAAGTAGCAAGTTAAATAAAGAGAAGCAAAAAGACAGGGAATGTTTTCATATTTGTGTGAAGTGTATGAACAAAATATATTCTAGGTTATTGTTCATCAAAGTAATTCTTGGATAACTGGATTATTTTTTAAGGTGCATTTAGCGTGGAATTTGGGTGTTAGAGAACAAGAATATGCGTCCATAATTAATATCTGAAGTTTCCCCAATAAGATAACCCTTTTCCTTTTTCTCCAAAGCACTAGTATTGTAATATGTTGATAAATTGGGTTGATAAAATAATTTGCGTAATAAAATAAAGTTTTATTTTTCATGTGTATTTTCAATTAAGGATTGATGGGAATGTTTTATGCTATAATTAGTAATGGTTATCTGTAGCTATTCAAGTAAACTCAAAGTTCTTACATCTTAAATATTTCTTGCAGTACTCATAGAACTGTCAGTAAAAATAAAATCTCTTAAGGCAGAGTGCAAGGAAATGCAGACAGATTTTGGAGAGATTGTGAAGAGATAAGAAGCAACTGCAGTCATTTTGTATGATAATAATGTTTCCTCATGACAGTTAAGATCAAAGTTCAAGTTCTTGACCTGCCCAAGATTTTTAAAAATAGATTTGATCGAGGATTAAGTTAATCTATTGACCAGTTAAATTTCTTTCTGATTATGAAAAAATATTCAGTATTTCCTAAGAACTGACATTTACTCTACCTGTATTTACCAATGCCATACCTTTCCCTAGTTAGACCCATTGCTTTCATTTTTCCTCATGTAAGCCTCTGCCTACTGTCTGCACTTATTGAAAGGAGATGCTGAATATATTTAACTTGCTAATTTCTTTAATTCTTGCCTTGATTTCTTATAAACCCCTAGAGATATTGGGATATAAGATGGAGAATGGCTTGTTGTAAACCTGTAAAACAACTCTGTACAGTGAATACTCTTGGACAGAGTTAACTGGGTAGCCCTGAAAGGGATCCAAGACTGAATGATAATGTTGCAGCATAGTTCTTTTGGATTACAGAGTATTTCTGATTCATAACTCTATATGAATTCAACAGAAAAGAATCCATCTTTGTATTGATTTTGGACATTTGATATTGCCACTTTGAAATGAAGAACTAAAGTCACAAATGCCTTGTGATGTAATTCACATAGTTGGGAATGAATTTGGAAGCTTGACTTTCAGTAACTATTTTACTGTAGTCCAGGCTTCTCTCACTTGCAGGTCTCCCAAAAGCTCCCCTAGGTTTCAAGGATATTTTGGGTCAGATTTATTTAAATCCACAGATCACAAGCCCCTACCCATGTTTCTTTTGCCACACCACCCACAGAACACATTGGTTCAAAGCAGAAGCTAAAATAAATGACAGAGTCATCACACCATTGGTAGGAGAGGAAATGAATACACATAGGGAAACATGTATGGTTAAGGAACACAAATAGAGAAGACACACAGAAGGAACACACATGGCTAAGATGACATGTGTGAGAGAAGACACGCATTGGGAACATGTGGCCAGGGAAAATGAGTAGTCAGGGCAACTCATTCTCTTAAGGCTATGGGACCTTTCTTTGTTCCCACTATTGCTGCTTTTTTCCCCTTGAAAAACTGATGCTGATGTCATCTGCTTGTCCAGTGATGCTATCAAGCTGCAAGTTGAGTTTTTTCTCACTGTTGCAACGCGCCTACTTTCTCCACTAGTCTGTCATTTATGCCTTCTCCTGGGTCTCCGCTGCTGACATCTGCTGGTTGTTCACTTATTTACAGCTTCTTAATAGCCTCCTCCCTCCCTAATCCTCTAGATGGGAGAGGTCTCTGGGCTAATAACCCATAATCCATCTTCCCACCCCACCCCTTACTACCCCCACCTCAGGCTATCTCATTTCTTTGTGATTCACATCTATATAACTAACCATCCAGCCAACCACGCCTTTGTCATTAAGTCTGTCCTTGAAACTGCTTTTCTTTTTTCTCATCTGTCACCCCTGAATTCAATCTGCTCTTTAATCTAAGGTGAGAAAATTCCTTTCTGTTACAATCACATTTTTGGATCTCTATAAATTCTGGGTGCTTCACCTAGCAAGACTGAAGGGGACTGGGTGGATGTAGAGACTCTTATTTTGCCTCTCCTAGTTCCTAGTACATTAAGTAATGAATAATACAGTCCACAATCAAGATAATTCAAGGATTAGCATTAGAAGGAGAGGGTAGTTGCATTTAACCATAGCTAGAAAATGTTTGGCTAATTTTTGCTTTCAGAAGAACAATTTTTGTTGGAATTAGAATCTGATACAGCACAAAGGACACAAAACATTTATGTGCTTTTCTGCTTCCCAAGAATATTTCAAGGAATAGTTTTTTCCCCCCTTTTCATTCTTTTCTTTTAATAAAACCAGGCTTGCCTCCTGTCTAATTCAAATAAGAGTCTGTCCCATTGCCCCTAAGGTCAATAAGGGAAAAATAGTTACTTCTTATTATCGTAGTTTTCTGCTGTAGTTATTGACAACTACTGTGATGCCTAATAATAGACCAAACCTAGAAATACCACTACTTTCCAAGCAGGGGAAACATAATAGTTGAAAATGAGTTAGAGAATCATAGTAGCCTCTATTTTCCCAATATTACTCGAATCATGCCTATTTTTGCATGTCCAGATTCCTAGCCTTAACTTTGTGACACTTTGGGAATATTAAGATATTCCAAATGTATTGCAGGAGTATCAAGTTAAAATGTAATTCAGTTAATTTTAATTAAAAATTAATCTACAGTAAATACTATGTTTATATTGTAAAAATCAAATAGTACTGTGGTTATCTTGGACTTACTACCTTAGGATTTGTTTTTCTTTTTTCCTCTCTTTATATTTTGGAAAGGGATTTGTGGAACAACAAGTTGGGACTCTGAGGACCTGTGTCCTCAATTGGCACTGTGACCTGGGACTTCTGTTCCTGTCCAGCCAACATATATCTTCCATTGATTTTCAACACTTTTGGGGAGTAAAGTGATTTGGAAGCCTGACATGAATGAGCCTCCTTATCTCTATTTTCTAAGGCAATAAATAGGATTATCTATATGCTACATGGTAAAAGACTAATTTAGAAATTGATTTATGTTATTCCTTATTTTCAAACTCTTTCCCTACCTTTCTCTATGAAAGCCTTGCCTTGACATTTTATTATAAATTGTAGATTTCACTTATTTGTGTGGAGGCTTGAAATTTTAAAAAGCTCGTGACTCTATGGGTCTAACTTGCTAATTTAAAAGATGAAGATGGTAAGGAAGAGAAAGGCTACTCACAGATCTTGGATACTGTTCAACCTAATGATATGTGAAAACAAAAAACAAACCTTTTTCTTCTAGTTCTAATCACACTATTTGTTTCTATCAGAGAAAAATAATCACTTCCATGACACTATTGCATACTTCTAAAAAAGACAGATGTACAACTTATTCAAATATAATAGACATGTCTATTTTGCAAAATGCCAAATGCCTGATAATGCCTGAGTTGTGTTAAGTCAGGAAGTGTGTCAGCATGGTGAAATGTGAGGAAATGATTGAATTTTCAGAAGACCTGGATTCATATTCTGGCTTTGTTACTTTATTACCTTGGGCAAGTTAGTTTAAGCTCTGTGGACCTCAGTTTCTTCATTTGTAAAATGAGGTAGTCTAAAGTCT